AAAAAAAAAAAAAAAAAAAAAAAAAAAAAAACCACTCCCATAGATTAGTAACCACTAATCCATTTCCAGACAAGAAATGCTGAAACAGAAAACTTACTTGCTCCTTTTCAAACTGAATCATTTTCCTGAAAAAGTCAACTGAAAATGGACGACTCTCCTGTAAACTAAAAAGGAAGAAGAAAATGTTATCTTCCACAATGACAAAAAGCCTCTTACATCTCATAAATATAAATACCCAGACCAGTGCCTCCACAATACATGGCTTAATAAAGATTTGACTTCAAATCAATGCAAGGATTTGACCTGATGGCCAGTCACTCTCACGACTCAATGACCACTAATGACTTTCTCTTCATAATCATTTTTTTCTTCCTTTTTTTTTTTTGAGACAGAGTCTTGCTCTGTCACCAGGCACCAGGCTGGAGTACAGTGGCACGATCTCAGCTCACTACAACCTCCGCTTCCCAGGTTCAAGCAATTCTCCTGCCTCAGCCTCCCAAGTAGCTGGGACTACAGGTGCTCACCACCGCACCCAGCTAATCTTTTGTATTTTTTAGCAGAAACAGGGTTTCACCACGTTGGCCAGGATGGTCTCAATCTCTTGATCTTGGCCTCCCAAATTGCTGGGATTATAGGCATAAGCCACCTCGACTAGCCATCTTTTTTTTTCTTGAGACAGGGTCTCACTTTGTCACCCAGGCTGGAGTGCAGTATTGCAATCATAGCTCACTGCAGCCTTGAATTCCCAGGCTCAAGAAATCCTCCTGCCTTATTCTTTAGAGTCGCTTTGACTGTAAGCATGCACAACCACGCATGGCTAATTTTTCAAATTTTTTGTAGAGAAGAGGTCTCAGTAGGTTACCCAGGCTAGTCTCGAACTCTGGGGCTCAAGCAATCCTCCCACCTCGGCCTTCCGAAGTGCTAGAATTAAAGGCGTGAGCCACCATACCTAGTTCAATTTTCTTACTGTGCTCTTCTTTCCCAATTGTAGAGTTTTCAAGTTCCCTCAACTACATGTCAAAGTCTTTTGGAAAATCAGTAATTCCATTTCTAGGAATATGTTCTAAAGAAATGATTTCTAATATGGACAAATAATTGTGCTGAAATATTCATCAAAACAGTATCACTGTGGTCAAACAAGTTATTCTGCATCCACTGCCAGGTGTGGTGGCTCACACCTATAATCCTTGCACTTTAGGGGGCCAAGGCGGGTGGATCACCTGAGGTCAGAAGTTCGAGACCAGCCTGACCAACATAGTGAAACTCCATCTCTACTAAAAATACAAAAATTAGCTGGGTGTGGTGGCAGACGCCTGTAATCCCAGCTACTCAGGAGGCTGAGGCAGGAGAATCCCTTGAACCGGGGAGGCAGAGGTTGCAGTAAGCAAAGATGAAGCCTGAGCAACAGAGTAAGACTCTGTCTCAAAAAAAAAAAAAAAAAAGTGATACTGCATGCATCCCCAGAGTGGTATATCATACAGCTTTCTCTTTTTTTTTTCTTTTTCCTTTTAGACAGTCTCCCCGTTACCCAGGCTGGAGTACAGTGCTGAGATCGTGACTCCCTGCGGCCTAGAATTCCTGGGCTCAAGCAATACTCCTGCCTCAGCCTCCCAAATAGCTGGAACCGTAGGTAAACCACCACATCTGGCTAATTGTTTCTCATTTTTAGTAGAGAAAGGGTCTGGCTATGTTGCCCAGGCTGGTCTTCCACTCCTGGGTTCAAGCAATTGTCCCACCTCAGCCCTGGCCACCTAAAGTGCTAGGATTATAGGAATGGCATGAGCCACCATGCCTGGCCTCTTTATTTTTTTAATGTTTTTATTTTTTGAGACAGGCTCTCCCTTTGTTGTCCAGGCTGGAGTGTAGAGGCACAATCATAGCTCACTGCAGCCTCCAACTCCTGGGCTCAAGCAATTCTTCCACCTTGGCCTCCTAAAGCACTGGGATTACAGGTGTGAGCCACAGTGCCCATCAGTCTTTTTTTTTTTTTTGAGACAGAGTCTTGTTCTCGTCACCCAGGCTGGAGTGCAATGGCATGATCTCAGCTCACTGCAGCTTCCGCCTCCCTGGGTCAAGCAATTCTCCTGCCTCAGCCTCCCAAGTAGCTGGATTACAGGCACTCTTCACCACACTCAGCTAATTTTTGTATTTTTAGTAGAGATAGGGTTTTGCCATGTTGGCCAGGCTGGTCTCGAAGTCCTGACCTCATAATCCTCCCGCCTCAGCCTCCCAAAGTGCTGGGATTACAGGCGGGAGCCACCACACCTGGTAGCCATGTATGATTTTAATTTCAACTTTTATTTTAGATTCAGGGGAGTACATGTGCAGGTTTGTTATACAGGTATATTTTGTGACCCTGAGGTTTCGGGTAGACTAACCCTGTAACCTAGGTAATGAGCATACTAATTGATGGGTAGCTTTTCAGCCCTTTCCTCCTTCCCCCACCCTGTAGTGTCTACTATTTCTGTCTTTATGTCCATGTGTACCCAGTATTTACCTCCAAATTATAAGTGAGAACATGTGGTATTTGGTTTTCTGTTCCTGTGATAACTTGCTTAGGACAATGGCCTCCAGCTGCATCCGTGCTACTGCCAAGAACATGATTTTGTTCTTTTTAATGGCTGCATAGTATTCCATAGAGTACATATACTGCATTTTATTTATCCAATTAACTGGTGATAAGCACCTAGGTTGATTCCATGCCCTTACTATTGTGCATAGTGCTGTGATGAACATACAAAAACATGTTTCTTTGATAGAACTATTTTACTTTGGGTATATACCTAGTAATGGGATTGCTGAGATGAATGGCAGATCTGTTTTAAGTTCTACCAAAAATCTCCAGACTGATTTCCACAGTGGCTGAATAATTTACATTCCCACCAACAGTGTATAAGATTTTCCCTGCAGCCTTGCCAGTATCTATAATTTTTTGATTTTTTGATAATAGCCATTCTGACTGGTGAGACGGCATCTTATTGTGGTTTTGATCTGCATTTCTCTAAGGGTTAGTCATGTTGAGCATTTTTTCATATGCACGTTGGCTGCCTTCAATACAGCTATTTGTTTTGTTTTGGGTTTTGTTTTTGTTTTGAGATAGGGTCTCGCTCTGTCACCAAGGCTGGAGT